CCTGAACTCAATTAGGTCTCATTATATTAACATTCAGTTGAGGAGCGTTATTGTCCTTGGTTGTGTGAGTTTTAACAGTTTGACAATATTGTCTTTGCTTATTGCTGCAGTATGATTAGCTTTCACTTAGTATTTTAAACAAATGTTGTAAATCATTTAGACCTAAATAGGGAGGTGTTGTAAGTTGGCTGGGCTGCTAAAACATGCACTGGACTCAGTTGACCAACCACATATTTTTTTTATAGAAAGTGACACAAACAATTTATAGGCATAACTTAAAAGTTGAATTGTAGTTGGCTTTAAACATTCTTTAGAGCAACCTGGACTTTATAAGAATATACAAAATAAATAGAAATAGATTTTCTTTAAGTAAAGTTGACTTGTTCAAAATAAATATAACTTATAAACCTTTAAGTTAAAAAATAACTATATTTTTACTGACTGCTCATAATTACTCAACAGCTTGGCAATGCCATAAAACCCTTTTATTTTGCTTTGATACACTTCCTTCATATACTTCATATATCTGGGAGAGCAAAGTATATCCATGAATGATGAAAATATTCAGAGCTGTATTTTAAGGTCTCACTAGGCTTCAAATAAGACCAGAGAAGTAAGAAAAGCCTTTTCCCCTAAAGCTGAAGTGCCTAAAACCTTTTTACCAATGAAATTCCATAAGCTGTTGAGAAAATCCCACCACGTACTTCAAGACATATTTCACTTATGCTTTAAAAGTATAAATCCCATTTTAGACCTCGTTAAACCTTTTCGAATCTGGTGTTTAGTTTTGAACAGTCACTGAATGCCTTCCCAAAGTGCTCAAGAGTGAAACAGAAATTCTGTCGAGCAAAAGACATTCCTTTTAGATTCCATTAAGCAATGTTGGAATGTGAAGGTTGAGAAGCTTTAATGTTGTAGATTTTTTTTTTGCTCCAGATAGCATCACTGATCCATTGTCGATTATCTCCTGTTAGGTAAAGAAACTCATGCATTTGTTTAGTTCACAAGAGACTTTGAAATTCCCATCTTTCCTTCAGTTCTTTACATCATACATGTGTGGCTTTCTAATGACTGGACCTGGTAAAGCTTAACTCTGCCTCAGGATTTGCTTTATTATTTTGTAGCTTTCATTACCTTATAAACAAAAACACAGATAACAGTGTTTGTGCAGATTTTGCATCAGGATGCTGAGAGAAATACTTTCTCTCAATTTTCCAGTGCTGAATCATTTCAGAGAAACAGCTTTCTTTCCAGCAGCCTGCAGATAAAAGCTGTTTATTAAAATGACTTTATCAATGTCTAATTATGCAGTGTTTCCAGATTTTCTCTCCTGATAAACTTTCTTTGTATTTGTCTGACATTAGATGCACTAGTCATGCTGCTTCCTCCTCTACTTCCTGTAGCTATTGCTACTTTGAAATGGTGAGAGAGATCATTAGCATTTGAACTAATCTTCTTTTATTAATATAGTGTAAAATATTTCGGGGACCTCCTCAGTATTAGAAGACATATTGGGTGCCTGCTTGATTTTATAAGCCATCTGCTCCCTGCATCACTGAAGGAAGCTGTGTGCTTCCTTCCTATAAAAACTGCTGTTTCTGATCCAAGGTGTGATCAAAGCCAGGAGGAATATCCGAGTTTCATTTTTCCCTCTTCAGATATTTTGATTCTATTGGCATCAGCAAGTTTCTTATTGTGATCTCTATCAAAAACAGATGGACAAAGCTGGCATTCAGATGGAAAGATCACACATTGTACACATTGTTCAAACATGATCTGAAGTTGGATGGATGAATGGATGGATGGATGGATGGATGGATGGATGAATGGATGGATGGATGGATGGATGGATGGATGGATGGATGGATGGATGGATGGATGGATGGATGGATGGATGGATGGATGGATGGATGGATGGAGTCAATCTCATTTAACAAATGACATTTTTACTTTATGTTTTGAGTTCATAAACCATCAAAGTAATCTGAAGTAAAAATAGTTTATTTTAAGTGTGCAGTGCTAAACCAGGGAGTAAAACTACATCAGCAAAATTAAGTTAATGTAAGTTATTACCCATGCTTTGCTTTTTTTCATCTTGTGTACACTTTTTGATACAAATTTAATTGCACTTTGAATTAATAAATACCTACAACTCACTAAAGTAAAAAAAATTAAAAAAATCCTGAATGGGTCCCTCGTCCTTCCCCTCTCTCTCTCTTTAGCTGTTAAATAAAGGCAGCAAGGCCAAAATATATTTTAAAAACTCACAAGTTAGCTTTAGCTGCCATACAAACTTTATTAAAAAAAATAATTGCATCATTGATAATTCTAGGCTAAACCATAAAAAAATTGATACTGTTTTTATTTCATATTTCAATTTTCCATTATAAAATGTATGTCGTACTATCAATGTAATATGTTACAATTATAAAAACATTACTGGTCTCCAACCTTCACCCATAATAAATCTATTTTAAAGATAATTGTAAAATTTCTCATAGCGTGATCTACACCCGGGCTTTGGTTTTTACAATATGCAATGAATCCATTTTTCAGCCTGAAGAGTTTTTTTGTTTTTTTCCCAGTATCAGCTTCTTCTACAATGAAGAGCAAAACAGCAGCTAAGCAGTTATTAATTGATTTGACAATAGAAAATAACTTGGAGGAGGCAAAAAAAAAAAAACATTCTTGTGGGACAATTCTTTGTTTTATACACTCTCACACTTTTAAACAGGTAAACAGCTGACAACAACAGGACTTTAATGCATTGTAATTCTCTCTCTTTTTTTTTTATCAAAACAAAAATTACAACAAATGGGCTGCTAGAAAACAACTAGCAATTGTGGCTTTATACTTATGTGGAAATGCTTTTTAAATCCAAACAATCTTAGTTTTATGCCATGAATTTCACAGCAAAGATTTTAGATGCTGCAATTGTAGATAGTGGAAACTTTCATAGCAGTAGACCCAGAATGCATGATATCTGTCCCTGTTTAAATGCTGCAGTTTAGTAAATCTAGGCAGGTTCTACCTGTTTTTACTTTATTTAGTTTTTAAATCACTGTAGGAGAAAAAAAAGATGCTGAACTATGGAACACATCTATACAACACTTTAAATTGAGATCTTTTACACTTTTTCTACCCAACTCTAAACTCATAGATTTCAATAAAGAAACAACAATTTAAGGAGCTTTGTGGATGTCAACTTTAGGTCTAAATTCTATCTGGAAGATCAGTTTCACCAGAACCAACTGTGAAGTTTCTCGTTCAGTTCCAGCCAATCAACTCGGGGGGGCCGCACCTTCTCCGGAACCAATCATCTTGCAACATCCCCTTCATTTAGCCCCTGGCCCAGCTTCTCTCTGCCACACGCAAGTAAGCTTTCACCCACCTCCATCCCATCTCCTCCCTCATTCTCAGTCCCACTCACCCTCTATTATCAGACTAATCTAATCCTTTTCTGTGTTACTCATCCAAGTGTATGTTGATTCACAGCATCAAAGTCTTCTACCGGGGCTTGAGAGAGAAAGAACTTATTTAATCTATTTCTTTATCTGCTTCTGTCTCCTTGAACCCCAGTCGGCCTCGCCAGATGGCGGCTCACACTGAGCCTGGTTCTGCTGGAGGTTTCTTCCTGTTACAGTGGAGTTTCCTCTCCACTGTCGCTACATGCATGCTCAGTGCGAGGGATTGCAGAGATTCAATGAGTTGATGCATTCAGATGGTTTTCCTCAGATCGAAATATTTTGAAGAATATGAATATGTTACCTGTATAAATAAAATTAATATTTTCCAATTGCAACTTTTCTCTGTTTGAGTTGAATTAGTCCCTCTGTGGTGATTCAGGGAACTGGAGTTAGAAAGGTTCAGTTGAAAGCTTTAATGGTTTGATGTGAAGACTCTTGAATACGGAAACAGGCAAGAAATAACTCACTTATTTTGGAGTAGTTGCTTTATTGTTCAAGTTTAAACTAAAATGCTTCAGACACAGATAGATAGTTTCTATTTTCCCAAAATAAAATACAATATTTGTTGTTGGCATTAGTTTTGTATCAGCTCCCGCAGTCGGTGGAAATTGAGCCGAGTAAATGTGTTAATGTTTCATTTATTACGGAGATTTATGGTTTAGATCAAAGCAAAACTACATAACAGGATTGTCTCTTTTCTTACTTTTATTTGTAATTACAGTGATGGAGAGAATATTTGTTAATTAGAATCGTTCATCTCTCTTTAATGTTGGTGCTAGATGCATTAAGTCATAAAAGAGAACAAGTCTGAGTGCAAAACCTGTGATCGTTGTTAACATTATTAAAAGCTAAATTCATTTTGTTCTCAAATATATTCAGATTGTTATTTGACATTTTAACAGTAGAATATAATAAGTGAGCCAAAAATATTTTCTCAAGCATCTGAAATGAAATTTTTAATAATGGAACGCTGGAGATAATTGATTCGTCTACTAATCGAAAAAGCTATTAGAAATAATCATTAGTTGCAGCTCCAGTCAAGTGATGCCTGTACCATTTAATTTTATAGTAATGGAGGATTAAACTATTCAATTCAGTTTCATATGTTTTTTTTTTTTTTTTTATGAGCCATGTTGCTCTTCCTCTGTAGAAAGTTGCCCCATTTTTCTATTTCCATCATACATATCCAAAAGTATTTATATCAGCTGTATGTTTGTCTATGTAAAAGACTTTACCACCAAAGTAAATTCCCTATAAAACGCTTTTTGCACCAAAAAGTCTCAAAGACAGAGACTGAACAAAATGTTAGGTTTAAGTAAAAGCATTTCCTGTTATCATACCCATCAAATAATAAAATAATTTGTCATGATGAGAAATTTTCCGCTCCATACAGACGGAGATTAGAGGAGCACTCCCCTGTTATCAGCGATCGTCTTCAGTCCAAGGACGACTGTCTGTCTAAACGCCTCGATAACAGAAGACAGTGAAGCCCATCAGTTTACGTTGACAGGCTGAATTTGTTTGGTTTCCCACCTGAGTTGTGCTGGCGTTGGGTTCCCAGGGCATACAGGACACCAGATCAATGCTCTCCCTCTCAGACTCAGATCAGTTCATCAGCCTTTAGACTTCCCTTCAGGTTGATATCCAGCCCATGCTAAGGCACAGCAAAAAAGAAACATACAGTCAAATTACATTTACAGATCTCTCTAAGCGCCTTTACAGTATCTATGTTTTTAGAATGGGATTTACTGAAATTCTACACTCAGTTATAACTCTATAACTCACATATTTAAATAAAATTAAACACGTTAGTGATAGGACAGCAGAAACAGTGTCTGACCGGAGAGCGATCCCAAAAGCCTCCTGGGTTTTTTCTTCCAGGTCATGTGACCTGTGGCTATCAGAACTCTTTGGAATGAGGTCCAATGGATCTCTTGGACAACAGATCTAAATAGAAAACACAAAGTTAGGATGTGAGCGTAAGGAAAACTGGGACAGAAACAACATAATTTCACTAAGTTCTACAGGAAGTTTTAAGTTTCTCATTTATAGAACATTTATTCACATTGATCAGAGCAAGTAGTGATAAAAGGAGTGGACAAAAAAATCTCAACCACCACAGTAATTAAAAGGCTGACTTGTTCCCATTCTTATGACTTGCAACCGTCTTGTAATTTTCTTAAACCGACTTCTTTCTAGGGAAAATTTGTTTATCTAAAAAAAAAAAAAATTTGAGAAACCTTCCCACTGTTGTAAGCAAAGTTTCAGGGACATATATTGCTTATGCATGCTCAACAAGAAATGTCAGAAAGGGAAAAAGTTTTTCCTACATACATTTTAAGTTCAAGATGACCAATTCTGTATAAGTGGAACACCCAAATGTCTCTACTTTAGTGCTGGAAATGACTGGCTTCCCGAGACCTGCAATTTCCCCATGCAGCAGCCAGAAGAACCTTAAAGGGAGATTTCAAAACCTGGAGCTTTTCACCGTGAGGCAGAGCCCATTTTTCTCCATGAGAAATTAAAGCTTCTTCTTACAGCAATAAGAAGAAGCTCCTTCTGTCTGCAGCTTGTTCTTACAATTACACTCAGGATATGCATGTGTTATTAATACCCTGGAGGCTCCTTATTAATGACACTTTAATCAACATTGTTTCCAGGAGTACTTATTGGCGCTTCCAAAATGTCATTTTTAAAGTAATAATAAAACTCTCAGAAAGCTTATAAAACCAGAGACTTCCCCTAAAAAAACATTGGGGAATCACTTTTACCTTGCATTATCGCCATGTCCATGATGTTATGACCTTTAACCCTTTATAGGGCACTCAGTGATATACTTTGAAATTCAATATTTATAGTTGAGTCTTATTGAAGGACAGAACAGACCTTTTTACTTATGTAAAATTAGTACTTTTATGATAAAAATCAAGGTCAATGTAATTAACAAAAAACAGCCATAAAAATGGTTCTAAAACAAATGTTAAAAATGTGACAAACATTTATAGAAAGAAAGAAACACTTTTTTTTCCAACAACATAACCTTCAGTATATTCATGAAGATTCAGGAACTTCAGTTTTGTACTTCATAACTTTTTTAATTTGCTTTCTTAGTTTATAAATTTTTTAACTCAACTTTCTAAAATATTTTTTACTAAATCAACTTTTTTTTACTAAATCCAGACAACATTAGACTGCTGATGGTGTTCTACGAAGCAGTGTACTCAGCCTCAAAACCAATGTGGACCATGCAGACCATGTGGACATTTGACCTTGTGATTTTTGCCTCGTTCGCTGCAAAGCAAAGTGGTGTTTTTTATCCACTGACATTCCTAGTCAAAGCTAGGAGCTATGTGGTTTGTCACAATCCAGGATCTATAATCATAGCCCACTTCATAGAGCAATAAAAATACCTTCTTTCTTTAAATGTACTCTGTGTGACTCATGCTCTGTACACATCGTCATATTTTGTGGTTTTATAATGAAGAACTTTTACCTTACACAGCTTTTGTGCAACTTTTTTGTTTTTTTGTAATTTTCTTACAGTAGGAAGTAATCCCATAAGACCAGTGTCATCCATTAGTGTGTCCATCATGTAATGACGTACATAAGGCTGAAGGCCGTCTGGATTTTTCACAGCAGTCCAGAGCTCATGGGTTGTGCTAGACGGAGGCCAACTGGGTCCAATCTCATATTCTGCCTGTAGAATTTACTTTAACAGTTATTTATTTTAAGGTCCAGCTTTCATCTGTGAGATCAGAGGTCTGCTACCTTTGCTTTGTGGCTTCCTTCATATACAAAACGATGTGATCTTGTCCATTTTTTCCTCTCTTTGTGTGTTTGTTCTTTATTTGTCCTGCTCCCCCTTGGACAAAAACAATGTCAAACACTTTCCTCATCAATCAAACCAATGAAACGTCTAACCGCTGCTGCCAGAGTTCCTTTCCTACCCTGGATAAGGCCCTTACTACTGACCCTGCAAAAGGTGAAGGGATGAGTTCACACATTGAAGGCAATCATCTTAGAGAAGAACTGTTGCTTCTCATCAATGTTGGAATAAGGAATTATACAGATAAAAAATATATTTCCCACTCGAAACATCTCAGACAACTGAAGACCTGTTTTCATTGAATTGATGCCACTGATGATGATCAGTAATCAGAGTATTTTCTTGCATTTTCTAATATCTTTAGCCCAGAGATCATGAAAATTATTGAACATATATTTGTTCATATAATTTTTCTTATATCTGTGAATTTTGATGAGATTAAAACAAAAGTTCTGAGTAGACAGTGATTAAGGAGAAATATGTTTTTCTCTATTTAAAGCTTACTTTGCTCCACACTGTGATGTTTTTTAGCCCAAATTAGTCCCGGCAGCTGTGCTCTGGGGATCTGTTAGAGAAAGAAAGGAAAAATAGTGCGTTAAAGGTGCTCTGAGGACATTGCTGAATATTTAAAAGCATATCATGCTCCTGATGTTAGAAGACATTTCTAAAGAGCCACACAGCAGGAACTTATCCCTGAATGGGTTTCTTATTTTAAAGGGGCTAAAACTGGGACATTTAATGCTGATGTTAGGAAGCTGAGATCTTAGCAGTCAGCACTCCAAACGAAAACCAGAAAAGAATCCCTGAAAAGATCTAAAATTATTAATCATGAAGTTAACTTTACTGTAGCTCTATGCAGCTGCAACAAGCCCTCCCACTGTTAGCTTGTTACATATTTTATTTGATTATTCTAGCAGACAACTAAACACCAATGAATGCTGACTGTGAGCACATACTGCCCTCTCCTGGTACTTAATATAAAGGACACAAAGATTTGATGTTAAATATTAATGGAAAAAGAAAAATTTATAAGAAAATCCTAGAATTTTTTTTTTTTCCTAAGAGAAGCTATAACCTGTGCTTGAAATTATTTATATTTAATATTTAATAATCCAGTTTAGAATTATCTGGGAACTTCAGTGTGGAAAAAATGGAAAAGGTCTTTTTCCAAGTTTAAAAAGCTTTGAAAAAGACAATAAATAAGATTTGCACCCCTGTTGTCCTCATTAGAAACAATTCATAGGCTGAAACTAACGCAGGATTTTTGCAAATATAGAATATTTTTATGAAAATTTTTATTATCTCCTTGTTTTCTCCCTGTCATTTACAGACGTGAAGCACATGGACACATGCATATATTTACATAAATATATGTAAAAGGGAATTAATAGGCAAGGCAAGGCAAGGCAAATTTATTTGTATAGCACAATTCAGTACAAAGACAATGCAAAGTGCTTTACATGATTAAAATACAGGAAGATAAAACAGAATCAAAGCAAGTAGGAAAAAATAAATAAATAAATAAAATAAAAAATGCAGAAACAAAAAAGAATATTAAAAACAGTTGGACTAAAGAAAATATGTTTTAGTTGAACTGTTTAACTAGAACAGTCGAAGGCAATCCTAAACAAATGTGTTTTTAGTCTTGATTTAAAGGAACTTAGGCTTTCCGCACTTTTACAGTTTTCTGGAAGTTTGTTCCAGATAAGTGGAGCATAGGAACTAAATGCTGCTTCTCCATGTTTAGCTCTGGTTCTAGGTATGCAGAGCAGGCTGGAGCCAGAAGACCTGAGTGGTCTGGAGGGTTGATGCACTGATAGCAAGTCTGTGATGTATTTAGGTGCTAAGCCATTCAGAGATTTATAGACTAACAGAAGTATTTTAAAGTCTATTCTCTGAGATACAGGGAGCCAGTGTAAGGACTTTAGAACTGGGGTGATGTGCTCTACTTTCTTAGTCTTAGTGAGGACACGGGCAGCAGCGTTCTGGATCAGCTGCAGCTGTCTGATCCTCTTTTTAGGCAGACCTGTGAAAACACCGTTGCAGTAATCAATTCGACTAAAAATAAACGCATGGATTAGTTTCAAGGCTGAAGTACAAACTTATAATGTGTAACTCAAAATACCATTGAAACTATTTAAATTAGAAATCACAAAAATATTTAACTCAATGTTCCTTTTACATTTAAATATAGTTAATCAAAAACAGGGATAACAAAAATAAGAAAAAATAGCAACAATAATAATGATATCAATAATTGCATGACCACTGATTACCCAAGTTTTTTTTATATCTTTTTATGTTTGTCATAATTTTAGATGATGATGTTTTAGTTTTTTAAGTATTTATATACAATTTCCAGTTGAGCCTATCATCAATTTAGATTACCATGAATTTAGTAGCAACATCAACAATCTTGAGTTGGCATTGTTTTAAATATGATGATAGTTCCATGTTTAATGATAGTTTATTGACATTAAAACCGATTTTTAGCATTTTAATTTTAGTTTCCACCCAAAATAACCTGTACTGTTGCATCCAGGTGCAACTGGAGATGTTGTCCAGAATAACGCAGATTGCTTTGATCAGCAGATAAGATACAATATATTTTACAACTTCACAATATCGTTCATATACGTACATAAAAAACTGTTATTTTTGATTTAGCAGAATGAACATAATCTAGGCTGATTATACTTACTGATCTCTTTCACTGGACTGGTTAAATGTTTATTAAAACATAGTGAAATTAACATAGCCTATTGAACCAAGACCTAACACATTGGTTTTTTTTTTTTTTTATAAATATTAATATAAATATTATGAATAAACTTTTATAATATTAATAGTTATTGATAATAAATACATAAATGAAAGTACATGCATTATAAACCGAAAATGCATTGAATACTATGAGTAAATGAAGTAAAATATAAAATCTATGGCAAATAGACAAAACAATACTTCCTTCAAAAAAAAAAATCACGTCTATCACAAAGAAATGTTAAAATTTTGTGATGAATCAAAGCAATTCCACCAGAGGTTTCTTTAATAAAAATAAATTTATTAAACAAAAAGCAGAACAATACCAAAAAGGACCAAAGAATAAAAAAGACTAGACATTTTTATTCTTTGGATTACATATGGATCATATTTTTTATTCTTTAACATATGTGATCTATGGTATCAAAGCTTTGCTAGTATCTATAAAAACCCAACAGTATACCCTCTGCGGTCAATCGAAGTTAATTCCATAGCTGCCATTAAAATAAACCTTTTCAAACTAAAAACCATATTGATGTGGTTAAAAAATAATTTAGTTTTATTTGATTTTCGGTTTTAAAGTACTGTAACATCTTTTAATGTCTCTATCCGTCCACTCTTCTGTGTGGGTCAGCCAAGCTAGACATTCTTATGGTGACAAATGGTGGCCAGAGCAACTCCAGCATCATCTTATGTGGTAATGCTGTAAGCCAGGTTGCTTTGCGGAAGAGACTGACTATTAGATAAAAAGCAAAGTGGGCAGAAACACTCTTCCGTTTTCATTGGGGTCTTTCCCTGGAAATTGCTGAAGACGACAGGGCCTGATAGATGGTGAGATGTTCCTCTGTAGTATGTGCTTCTATCAATGAGTTGTTAAACATGACTTGAATAAATTTTATTTAATAAATAAATATAAATACACTTACTCTAATACATAAACTTTCGTAATCAGTATGGTATTTAACTCAATAAATTATATCATTAGATCAAAGTTTATCTGGACCGATGTTACTATATATATTCCCCTAATTTTATTCCCATGAAGTTGAAGATATTTAAATCCACAATTTTATTTTTTCTGCTCCATTGTCAGTTAGATCATCGTTTAACTCATCATTCCTCCCTATTAACTGATCATCACACATCAATCAATCAAGCAATCAATCAATCAATCAAGCAATCAATCTTCTGTATGCTAAAAGTTTTGCTAAAACGCCTTCTAAAGATAAGAGATCCATGTTTAAATAAGGAAACGTATATAAGAAATATCTAGTTAACTTGTAAAAAGTATAATAGATTAGGATGTATATGCTGACCTATAGAAATGTCTTTATGCAGCTTTCTGTTAAGAACTATAAGATTAAAGCAAACCTCTACATAGATGGCGACCCAGAAATTAAAGAGACTACAAGCTTTCTTTGCAGGATTATTTCCAGTGATTTATCTGTATGCTTCTCCTAACACTTCTGTTATCAGCTTGCAACAAATTTGAAGATGATCCCAGAGTTCAATTAGGGTTGATTAATGTCTCTTTACATAATTCAGAAATTAAGAACGGTACATTTTTATTAATAAACTCAAATACTGCTTGTTCATTATTTCACTGTTTAAAAGTGGTGCTGTGATTTATTCAGTGAAGAGATTTTACTAAAGAACCTGGAAAAAAGAAAATGTTTATGAAGAAAGAGAAGAATAAACACTGAAAACTGACAGAATGATTTATTCCTTTTTTAGTTCAGACAGACAAAATGTGGACTGATTTCTACTTTTTTGGAAAAGTTTTTGTAAAATAGCAGGAAGATGAGATTTTTCTCTACAAACCAGGTGGAAAATTGCTGTAAAATTTGAAACATCAAAGGGTCAAAAGAATCCCTCCGCAGTTCTCTGCTGGTGGAGTAATCGTGGAGGATCGTATCTATCTTTCCACTATTTCCTCTCTGTTTAAAATACATTTTTACATTTTAAATTAAGCATTGTGTACTTTTCCTTTAGGTTCCAAGAAGTTAGAGGTTCCTAGTGAATCGTAAACTTTCTATCAGTTATTAATGATGGTTTTTGTGGGGGGGGGGGTTCTTGGTCATTTGTCCTCTCTTTTATTGATAATTTGTGGATTAGAATTAGGATCACAGCTCTTGATTAAAGTTATACTATTTTACTAATATTAAAGAATGTACAGTAAAGAAATATCTTTCTCCCTTTTTTCATGCAATTAATAATAATTCAATTAATAATAATTCCTGAAAAAAACCTCCTCAGAAACCTCCTCAGACTAAATAATTCTACATATGTTTGACTTTTCTGCACACTTCTTAGCTTTTTTATTGCTACAAACTTGCTTTAGAAGAAGGGCTCTGATTCCTCTTTTCCTTCACCTTTTGTAAAGCAGAGTGTTTTAGGTCATGTCTACCTCTAGATGGCGCTGTCTGCATGTTTCTGGCTCTGGCCAGTTTCTCTTTGCACCATCTAACTCTCTATTAATCACTGTGATGGTGTTCTTTAGCTGTATGAATAACCCTTTTAGATTTTTCTGAGTTTAGATTCTGCCCATGGTCTTTCTATGTGGAGTTTTCATAGTACTTTGCCTTTGGGAGGGTGCTTTCTCCTTGGGTACTCCAGTTTCCTGTCACAACCCTAAATATGGAGATTATGCAAACTGGAGACTTTTGAAGTTGCTCGTGGGATTGCGTTCAGTGTTGTTTGACTCATTTGTCTCAGTGGGAAATTTTGAAAATTTTATTTTGTCATTTTCCATCAGTTCCATGGGGTTTAATACTTTTTAAATTTTATTGTAAGGAAGGGAAAGGA